AACTCTTATTCAGTATCCGAGAATACTGATTTTATTTAGAGTGTACCGTCTTGCTAGAAAATCATCTTTTTGTGAAGTCTTTTTCTTTGCATAATTGGATGGAAACAATTTTCATTATTAGGTGAAAAATTCGATGACAAATGGATTGGTAGAGATGGTCCCATTTCTTGAGCGCCACAATCTCCAGACTTAACGCCATTGGATTTTTTCCTGTGGGGATATATCAAAACAAAACTATACAAAACAAAAGTCAACGATGGGTGTGGGTGTGAGTAATGAATGAAAAGAATACCTTACATCCATACCCACACTCACGACTTTGAACATTTCTCTTTCATTTAAAGAAAAATCCTCGATTTGGATGAGAAATGGCTGAAATATTGAGTTTTCTTTTTGATCAGTGAATTATCAAACGCACCGTATATAATACTTATTCTTTCAATTTTAGATTTCCATATTTAATTTCTGTTGGTAAAACGTCGATGCTCATAAGCTGAATGAAGCCATGAGTGCTAATGAACAAAAGGTAAACACATTCTTCGAACTTTCGAATAATCTAGTAATGAAATTATAGACTCCTGAAAAACTTACAACAAAAAACACTGAAACGACTACTGTGCGTGTGCCGCAGTTCTCGCCGCCATTGACCCGAAAAGAAGTTCAATCAAATGCAACATCTTCATCCACGATGACAAGGAAAGAAAAAGACGCCGAGAGGAAAAGACTTCAACGAGCAAACGAAACTCCAGAGGAAAGAGAAAGGCGAAACGAAAAGGATCGTCTCTACACCCGTAGAAAACGAAATGCAGAAAGCAGTGATGCATCATTAGAACGCCTAAGTAAACAGAAAATGATTGCCGCTACGCGAAGAAACAATGAGACGGCTGAACAACCTCAATCTCGACTGAATCAACAATAAATGATTGCCACTGCGCGAAGAAGCGATGAAACAGCTGAAGAACATCGATCTCGACTAGATAAACAGCAAGCGGTTGATATCACGCTTAGAAATAACGAGAGTACTGAAGACCAAACTGCACGCATTCGACGTATTAGTCGACATCGTCAACAACGTATGGTGGAGATGAGAAATAATCCACCTGTTAAAATATGGCCAGCTGCTATATCTCAGAACGTTAAAGAAAACTGTCTTAGAGAATTTAATAAGAGAATGTCGATGGATAGTCTACGCGAACAAATATGCGTAGTGTGCAATTCCCGACACAATGAAAAAACAATGCATAGTGTACTGCTTTCTAATATTAATGATGCTCTTCTTAAACCTCATCAAAATCTTTACGAAATGATTCCTGATATTCGATCAGTAAACGCACAAGATACAAATTTAGATGAAGAAATGATTTTTTCCAATGAACGAGGTGAGTTTCAACATTTTTCACGTTTCTCTGAAAACTCTTATTTTTCAGGATATCATGAGAACAAGACTCGCAAAAATTCTACATATCTTATATCAAATGGACGGATTTTGTACCGTGACGGTTTGTTACAAGGAGAAAGTTCGTCCGGCGCCGACTGCCGAATGTGTCATGAATGCTCGTTAGCTGTATAAAAAGGAAAAATTTCAGTTTTCACCAGCTAATGGCATGTGGATAGGTGATGTACCCGATCAATTGAAAGGACTCACTATTCCTGAACAAAAGTTGATTTCTCTTTATCGCCACAACAGTTGCATCATCAAACTACACTGTCCATGGCACTCACCTAGTACCGCTCAACCGGCTCTCAAGGGCAACTGCATTACTTTCCCGCAAAATCTTTCAAACATTGCCACTAGTCTTCCTCTATCTCCAAATGAACTTTCTGCGTCGATCAAAATCATTTTCATCGGACCTTCTAAATCAGCTCGCCATCACCTTCGCAAAATTCTGTCCGTTAGACGACAACGAATACTCGATGCACTTATTTGGCTCAAAGAGAATAATGTATTGTATAGTCATATATCTCTCGACAAGCACATTATTGCTAGTCTTCCGGATGACGCTGTTCCCGAATCTATTTGGGAGACACTCGATCATATATTAGATGATAACAATGCTCTTGCTGAAAGAGAAGGATATACTGAAGACCCTCTTACTAGTGATCAAGCTATGTCAGAGAAAGCCACATCCGACTTCATACCTCTAAATCCAAGTGGTGTTCTGGATGTCAACGGTGCATCCGTATCAGTGGCAGATATTAATAATCAAATGCTACAAAAACTTCGAATCGATACAAACAAGCAGTCTGCCAATTTGCCGGAAATCAACACGGTAAGTGCAGCTTTTGTATGTTTATTGTTTTTACTTTTCTTTCCACATTTAGAATGATGATCTTATCCACATGGTTCCAAGAGGAAGTGCTCCTACTAATGAATATAACAATCCGACTTTGTTACTTGGTCTCTATCCAACACTGTTTCCTTATGGAACAGGAGCCTTTGAAGATGCTTCTCGACCAGTCAAAATCTCATTCAAGAAACAAATCCAGTATCTTCTTTCCTATCACGATCCCCGTTTTGAAGAACATCATTCTTTTATATTTATTGTCTTCAATATGTTACAACGACGAGAAGCTTGTCTTCATGCTCGATTAATGACATCAAAACCATTTTTGAGCAAAACAGTCGATCAGATCGCCTCGCTGAATGCGGATGATATCAAGCAAGTGCTAAATGATTTGGAAAAAAATAAAATTAATATATCAAGTCGTAGTCCCCAAGTCAATGCACTTTTGAGTCAAGTTAAAGCTGTCGGAGGGAAAGTGATGGGTTCAGCGCGGTCTTGATCAATGATGCGCAACCAAATTCATGGTTTAATTTTCAATCAAGACTTGCCAAGCATCTTCCTTACCATCAATCCTGCAGATATTAACAGTCGTGTAGCTCTCTACTTTGCAAGAATTGATCTTGATCTGGACGCGATTATCCCAAACAATCATCCATCTACCTATCAAAGGGCTGAAATTATTGCATCACGTCCTGTGTCAACAGCCAAGTTTTTTCATCGACTCGTTACACCGGTTACCGCAACGATGTGTTACAGTGACAAGATGTCACTAGATAATATATACATCTATCTATTTCTGTCATGTTATTCTTTTGTTTTTCGCTGTCTCTATCTCTCTATTTCTCTCTCCATATATGTGTATTAGATGTTTTAAATAAAGACATTCGAAAGGCATTCGGCCTAACCACAACAATTGGCGACCCTGGCTAAGTTTTCACCGCTACCAATACCACAAAAATAATTTAATTTAAAATTAAATTTACATTAAATTTTAAAGGCCTCTTTTGAAAGAGACCCGGTTCATACGTCAACTGATCGAACTAAGATCTCTTAGATGGAGATCGGATAATTTATAAAGGCCTCTAGAAAGAGACCTGGTCAATTTAAAATTTAAATATCTTAATTAAAACGTAAAGAAAAAAAGAAAAGGGCTAAAATGTCTTCTCTTAACTGAAATATAGTTGTAAAGGACATCTTTCGAATCTAAAAGTAAGAGGGGTCATTGCGTACACATGTATATATATATAAAACAAAAGGATAATCGTAGGAATAAAATGCAAAGAAAAATATTCTACATAAAGAATATCGTAATCAAAGAGATGCTAAATAAAGAATTTCGTAAACATATATATATATTACTACGTTGACAAATTGTAATTAAAAATAAATCGATCACGGCGTTCGAAACACGATCACTGATAAAGAAAACTAAACAAGAACTATTACTTCATAGTATTATTACACATCAATCAACACGATCATTCACGCGCTCATTATCACGCCCAAAACCACGTTCATCTTTACGTTTACAATCTCGTTCACTATCAAATACGAGATTAAATACAAGGTCAATACCTCAACTCAAAACAAATAAAATGGCTGATCAAACATTATTAGCAAAATCACGGAAAGCTCGATTAGATGATTTGCCAAATTTCTCAGGACATCCATCCGAAGATGTCGAACGATTTTTAAAAACTATTAAAAGCATAACGAAAGCACCCGATGAATCGGAAAACCAAGAGATTCTTGAAATTGTATGTGGTAAATTATTAAAATCAGCTGGCATATGGTTTGACAATAATGAAAGTGCTTTCAAGAGATGGTCAGATTTCGAATCCGCATTTCGAAATCGATATTTTTCAACAACAATGATTCAAGAGAAATTCGATAAACTGAAAGGAAGAAAACAATCTCCTGATGAATCCATCATATCTAGGCATGACCCAAACCCAAACTCATATTCAAACCGTTTGGGAGTTTGGGTTTGGTTTAATGAGTTTGAGTTTGGGTTTGGGTTTGGATATTGAGTTTGAGTTTGGGTTTGAGTTTGAGTATAAAGTTTGGGATAAGTTTGGGTTTGGGTTTGGGTTTGG